ATAATTAGCCTCGTGAGGCTTCACACTGTCTCGAGGCATAAGCTACTACATGGCCTGCTGCATCATTCTGCTCCCATACTGTGATCGAATGCATCACAATAGACTACGAATCTCTACTCCTCTGCAAGGTAAGGATCGGAGCCTCGCACAATCTCTGCCTGAGAGTCTCGAACGCCGCCTGCTGCTCAGGCCCAACGAAAAACCACCGACTTCTTGGTTAGTCGGGTGAGCGGCACTGCTATTGGAGAAGTCCTGAATAATCTCGATAATACCCTGCCAACCCCAGGAAGCTCCGAATCTCAGATGGAGACCTCGGGACCTCCCACTGCATCACGGCCTCAATCTTGGCCGGATCTACCAAAATACCTTCTGGTTGACGAGATGACCAAGAAACTGCACCTCGCGCAACCAGAACTCACACTTGGAGAACTTTGCGAAAAGTCTCTCCCTCCTCAAAGTCTCCAACACCTCCCGCAGGTGCTCCTCGTGCTGCCCCTGTGTCTTGGAATACACCAAGATGTCATCTATAAACACTATCACGACCGATCCAGCATCGGTCTGCACACGCGGTTCATGAGATCCATGAACGCGGCTGGGGCATTGGTGAGCCCAAATGGCATCACCACGAACTCATAATGACCATACCGGGTCCTGAAAGCAGTCTTCTGTACATCCTCATCTCTAACCCTCATCTGATGATAACCGGAGCGTAGATCGATCTTGGAGAACCAAGGCTCCCTGAAGCTGATCAAACAAGTCATCTATCCTCGGAAGTGGGTAACGGTTCTTCACCGTTACTTTGTTCAACTCCGATAATCAATGCACATACGATGCGACCCATCCTTCTTCCTCACAAATAAGATCGGCGCTCCCAAGGCGAACTGCTCGGCCGAATGAAACCCTTGTCTAACAGCTCCTGAAGCTGTGTAGACAACTCCTGCATCTCAGGGGGAGCAAGTCGATACGGTGCTTTGGCTATCGGAGCCGCACCAGGAACTAGGTCGATCCTGAACTCAACCTGCCTCTCTGGAGGTATCCCCGGCAAATCCTCGGGAAACACATCCGGGTAGTCACGAACAATAGGAACATCATCAATCGTCGTCTTGCCCTTCTCCCGGGCATCCAAGACGTAAGCTACAAAACCGGCGCAACCCTGCTGAACATAGCGCCTCGCCCTTGCGGCGGAACAAAAGATCGGTCCTCGCTGGGGCCTCTCGCCCTGAATCACTATCTCTCCCCACTGGGAGTGCGAACCCTCACTAGCTGAAGCTCACAATCAATCACCGCCCCATTGGGGCTCAGCCAATCCATGCCCACAATAACTTTATTCCCACGCAGGGGAATAGGAACCAGGTCCACTGAAACTGCTCATCAAATATCTGAAGGGAACACCCTCTATGTACTCTGCCGACCCTCACGGTCCTATCATCTGCTATCTCAACCTCTAGTGGACAATCCAGCCCCTGGAGCTCTGCTAAATCTCTTGCTAAGCGCAAGCGATACAAATGATCGGGTAGCCCCCGAATCGAACAATACCAAAGCAGGGATGCCGTTCACCGAGAACGACCCCGTCACCACATCAGGAGTCGCCACATCTCTCGCGCCTCCTCTGCTGTCATCTGAAATGCCCTGCTCTTCGCCACGGCGCATCAGCTCGGCCCTGCCGGCCATCCGTAATCCTCAGGGTGGCAGGGGCAGGTGCAACCACCTTCCCTGCTGCAGCTAAACTGGGACACTGGACCTTTTATGTCCCCTCTGATTGCACTGAAAGCAAATCAGATCTGATGCTGTAACCGTAGTAGCAGGGGCCGTACAATCCTACTCAAATGCCCAGTCCGACCGCACTTGTAGCAGCCGGAACTCCCTGCTTTGCACGCCCCCTCGTGCAATCTCCCACACTTGCCACACCGACCGTGGCTCTGCTGACCCCTGAACCTGTGATCTGAAACCTTGGGCTTTTTGCCCACACTGCCTAAACCCGAAACCGCCTCCGGTTTCCTCTTCTTCTCCATCTCGAGATCAATCTCCTCTCTCTGGCTCTAGCAATCATGTCGTCCAGCGTTTTACAACTGGACCGGCTCACAAACATGCGAATGTCACTCCGCAGCATCTCATGATAACGGGCCTTCTTCATCTCCTCATCGGCTGCATACTGAGGAACAAGAAGGGCCCTCCCTGAACTTGGCGGTGATCTCCGCCACTGTCTCGGTAGTCTGGGTAAGATCCTGGAAACTCCCTAGCTAACTGTTGCACTCGATGACCGGTGCAAACTCCGCTCTGAACCTGGTAGAGAAATCAGCCCAGGTCATGGCATCCAGTGCCGCATCATCCCCGATGGCATGTCCGACCTCCTCCCACAGTCTCTGCCCTGTCCTTCAGAAGACAGGACGCCAATCTGACCTTGTCCCCCTCGGGACATCTGCTAGTGCGGAATGCGTTGGCCACATCCGCCAACCACCTGGTACTCGCTATGGGGTCCCGTGCCCCATGATAGTCAGGAGCCCCGCATGCCCTGAACTCCCTGAACGTAAGTGTGCGCGACCCCATCACGGCCGCCATCTCGGCACGGAAAGTACTCAATCTCTCATCCATCAGCTCTAAAATACCCTCCTTGATCGAACCGAAGATCACAGGAGTCTGCTCTAGTATGATGCGGGTAACCTCAGAAGAAAGGAACTCCCTAGTCTGCTCATCCATCTGCCCGGCCTCCAGGCCTGATCCCGATCCTGATCCCCCTCCGGCATCTGAACTGCCGGCTGCTGGCCTCGGATGCAAAACTACCATTCTGAAACATATCATAACAACATCAGAACACTGAAATATCTCAAGGGATCATGATACTACTACTAGCTTCCTGGTCTTGTCTTGGCCTTCCTTAATTCGAGTACGGATCCTCTGCTTTCAGTAGTATGGGCCCCTACTACCTTCCACATCTATCCGTACTCTCCTCAAGAACTGCCTTGACTCCACCAAGTCACTTCTACTACTGCCATTCTCTGCTACTCTCATCCTAGGCTTGCCCTAGGGAAACTTCAAGCTCAACGCGACTGGTCCTCAGCTGCTGTAGGTCTCCTCATAATGCCAGTTAGCCACCACCTAAACACCATCACATGTGATGAGGATCAGATAATCCTTCAAGTAAAAGATCCGTCCCTACAACGGTTGGACTCAAACAAGAGCTGCGCAGTAGAGCCAGTTCCAGCACTCTGGGATTATTCAAACCTGATCACATGTGGTGTGACGTGTTCACCTAATGGCTAACTCTTACTACTCAGAACCCCACTAAGCACGAAGCAAGCAGCATTCGGACACGGGAAATAGACTCAGGCAAAACTATCAGGATGCTAAGCTCATACTATCAGGCATAACCTAAACAGGCTATCCTACTGCTGTCTACTCAATTCTAGCATGCAATACTCATAAAGCTGTAACACATAAGCAGGCACATAAGGCATTCTCCTAGATCCTTAGCCCTATACTAGCATGCTGCTCTACTGAAACTGAAACTGAACAAATAACTTGTATGAGTAATTTGGGAGTACTTACTTGAGCTCGGCTGACCGCATGCACACACCTCTATCTTGTTAAAAACAATTCTTTCTTTCCAAGTGCTTTCAAAATTCTTTTTGTAAAACATTTTTATTTTA